GGACTAAACATGGAAATGGAGTAAAACACACTAATCACGGACGCACGTGGACAGCCCTGACAAAAAGTTCCTTATCACGAGCGTCCATGTAATTGTTTACGAAATCACTGATGATAGCATTGCGTACGGCCGAGCATGCGTGCGAAAATGTCCGGTGCACTATAAATCTGTATCACACCCTCTTCGCCGGCAGCGGTTTGAAACTGTAAACAACCGATTTTTGGACTGCGGATTTCAATTAGACATTTCTTAGTAACCAGCAGTGATATTGGACAAACTAATACGCATTTGGCTATAAGGTAATGTACTTATTAACTACACAAGGTGCCAGTTACTCTAGCATTCGTCAACATTGCATAATCAATGGGCTTATTATGCCTTTAACATCAATATTTTATATTATTGGCCCACAAAGCATTTTGTGATTAAGCATGATAAAAACAATGCACAGGAGCATAGGTCCAACGGTACACAGAGACCCGATTTGGTTACAACATGAGATATAGCACCATCTTATTAAAATGTGTTTGTTAGACAAACAAATTTCCATAGGTTTTTGTAATCGACATATGCAGATGAATTAAAACAAAAAATCACAATGTTTTTGTATAAAATGATCGATATCAGGAGGTAACCTGATATGGGTTCCAGCGCAGATTAGCTACCTATTTTAATTTGAATCTTCTTAATGAAATTGGCCAACAAATGAGGCCAATCTGTTGAGATGGCCAATTTGTTGGCCAACAAATGCCAACTATATACATTTCATGTACATGACACTTTTTAAAGCTTGACAAAATCTAAAATTAGTTAAAAAATATTTATTATAAAATATAAATAATTATAGTTAAAATAAATTCCTATTTTAGTCATCCATAGTTTGAAAAACAACATATACAGATATGTTAACAGCCTGTAGTCTCCCTCGCCAACAAACAATATCACCAATATCACCGGTAATGCTCCATTAAAAGGTGGCCAGAAGAAGTAGCCAGCTGAAAATAGATAAGTGTGATTTACTGTGTTATAAAGACTTGCCTAGTTATCAATAGCTAATAATACATTAGCTTACATAATTAATACATTACATAATGTATGATTAGCTAATGTAATTATCTCAATACACCGAGGAATCGTCACTCTGCCTTACCCATCGATAAACCAGGACCTTTGATATCATAACAACCATGACAGATACTCCTTTCTAATAAAATATTCATTGCATTTATCTCTCAGGGTAAAAAGTATATTAAAACTACTCATATGCCAGCCACATTAGTACAGCTATTATATCACTTACCAAACATCTGCTCAAATTACTGGTGTAAAAAAGCAGCAATCTTTTTAAATTTAAATAACACATGCATCTCTTAATTATAAAACAGCATCTTGTTCCAGCTACCCACTTAAGTTCCCACCATGCTAGGTTAATAATAAAAAAAGTGATCAAGTACCTTAACATGTTTTTATCGCTATCCTTAATTGAAATCGAATGACCACTTATTTTTTAAGTTCAAATCGACTTCGCTCCAGTCCGAGAAACTGACAACAGTTTCCTGCTAGTAGATCATCCTATGATGCAATGAAAACAGTTATTAGAAGTATAAAAAATATTTCTATGAGTCGGTATTGCACAATTAATTCCACCAGCCAGACAGTGACAAAAGAAAGTGGTGGTGGTCAAAGGTACCAACACAATAAATCACATCTTTTACCAAGGCTGACACTTTTCAGGTTATTGTAATAAGTTTATGAAACATAAATATTACTAAATGCATAAGGAAAAAATGTTGATATCATATTCACTTTATTAGGTTAATCATTTAGTAATTGCATTTCCCTGATAGTATAGCCTTGATAAACGTACACAAGTAACAAGTGTAGTAACCCAGGCTACTTTCGTATTGAAGCAGAGGACTCAATACAATGGACCTATCCATCTGATGTGATAAATCATTGTTATGACAGGACATTTCAAAGACAAGGCTTAGAAAAAACGTTGTAAACCACACATTTTTGCAAGCATACATAAAACAAGTGTCGCAGAGTGACAGTACTCATCTGACTGTCTGAGCCAGTGCTAGAGCAAGAAGGGGATGTTGGAAAGTCACAGCTGAAATGTGCCTTTCCGTAATTTCATGTCTCAGCCACACTAGTGCCGCAGAGCAACAGTTCTCACGTAAGAGAGGAACGAGAGGAGGAGATGGGGGAGGGTAGATGGTGCGAGTGAGAGAGAGAGAGGGGATCTAGATAGCGTCCCTTATATAGTCCTTCTACCCTTTGACCTGTGACCACCAATTTTTCAAGGTGATGGCTTCTCTTACCCCGTATACCACATATCAAGACCATTTGTCAAGCCATTTATAATTGTGCCACAGCTATATTTTCTCAATGCCAGTCCTATACCTTAAGTTAAGGGGAGAATGTTGCTCCTCCTTTCACGCCTCATGACCTTTGATCATTGACCACAGATTCGACCTCTCGATTTTATTTTGGATTGCCCTCCCCCTAGGGCTTGAATTTCAGTACTGTACAACGAGCCGTCTATAATTGTGCCTATATCGTTAACAGATAGACGGATGTTCATGTCATTCTAATCTACACACTGCATCTGACTACATCAGATGAGAATAAAACACACATAAACCTGATCGCATAGGAAAAATATGCAATAAGGCATTGTTATCCCGCTTAGACAGATAACCTAACCATGTTTTTGCCTGTTTATCATGTCAGAAATCAGAAAAAGACAGCCAACCAACATCAACCTACCTTCAGTTGGGGGCTTATATCTGGCATGCTCTCGATGAGTTTCCCCACCTGGTGTTCCCCAAGAGGAAATGGGTAGTCTGACCCCAACATGACCCTATCCTGAATAAATATGAAACACTAATAAATACTCACTTCGCCATATTTAAGCATCTAGAAAAAGGTTAGCCAAATAATACAATAGTTTATAGTTGTTGTCAACGATGTTAACCATTTCTCTTAATAATGCAACTTATATGGCAGCTATTGTTTTTAGCAATACATTGAACATGGCAGACACCATCTCAACCACTATTCCGCACACCTTGGATGTATTGGCTATATTATGTCGGCTGACATGCACCAATGCCCATACAATTTTGTGATCACCATAATTTGACCACATTACCGATAAGGAGATTACCTAAACAATAACGAATCACTGCAAACCACACTCATTATCTACAACCTCGCTAGTATTTAGCCTGGAGTTGTCAACTTTTTTCAATATAATTGATTCCAGCATGTCCAATGCAAGTAGTTCTGGCTATGGCACCCTACATTATTCAGTTACAGTTCAATGTGGATACGATATTGGCCGAGGTATGCCGAGTGGAAAACCACCATGCAAGAGATGCAGATCAAATGGGTCTCTGCGTACATGTCCCAGTGTCTTCATGAGTAGCCGGAGGGCATCTCTGTCGTGCACCAATGAGTCACTCCAGATTCGACCAATGTAGTTGCGGGGACCATGACTGTTGTCAATAGCACACAGATCAGGTCGTACATTGAAGCCATGTTCTATCCTACCTAAACACAGATACAGCTATTAGCACATTTCTACACACATCGATAAAAACTATATTTCAGTTTTTTTGTGTGATTGGAATTCATCTGGGATATTCGTGTATGTATATTTTCCACTGAGATTTAACGGAACTTGAAATTAGTACAATATCATAGTTATAGTCCATGGTAAGTTACTACGATATTGTACCTGTAGAGTAAGGAGAAGTTACTCCAATATCATTTCCACGGTAAACAATCAGCTACCAGAATATCATACCTATAGTGTATGGGAAGGTGCCACAACCATGTGCAAAGCACACCTTTAACCGTGGGAATCGCTCCAGCACTCCACCAAACAGAATTGATACGACGGATGTTGTTGTTTCTGCTGGCATGCCTACAATCAGTAGATAATGGTGCAACAATCGAGTTAACACTGATCAAAAATCAAAATAAATTTTAAATAAACACCATGTCTTTGATTAGACAGGTAAAGACTATGTCCTGCTTTCTGGTAGTTATGAATACTCACAATTTCGAGGTGACATATGACATCAACCTTTTTATTGAAAAAAGTGTTGTCAAATGTGGATGTATATATGGTAACTTTAACACTTGCAATTACACACACGTTTTAAATTAGATGTTAACTATTTTCTAGAGGAGAGTAATACAAATTAAATATTATTAATTAATTATCTCGTTGCGTCAACCTGGCAAGAGCAACGGCATGTATAGACACCAAGAAGCTATTGAAAAAAGTCACAAAGACCTCTCATCTCATATGATTCAACATTTGCAGCATTGCAGTTACTCTCCACGTTACTACAAATGTTGTAAATAGGACACAATATTTCAAGTATACACTATATATACAGCAAGAATTTGGCAAACCTATACATACCTCCTCAAAAATTTACAGAAAAAAACTAGCAAACAGCATCAACAATGATGCTGGCCTCTATAACTAGAATGTCGGAATGATAACGCACCTACTAACCAAGGTAGCCAGTACTTATTCATTCTACCACTCTGATCCATGTCCCATGGATGAACAAATATGGCACAGTCCAGATCTTGGGCAGTCTGTTTGGGAGTAGAAATAAACCATGTGTGATAATTATATACCTAAATAGTGCATGTGCTATACATCCACAGAAGCTTTTCGAATTAAAAGGTATAATAGTAGAGATGTGTAAGTACAGCACATACAGCATAGATTGGGTCCAATTCGGGCGCATTCAAATCCCAGTCATTTATATGCGAGCCAATCTGAATACCCGGAAAACCAAGGTCATGATGTATCCGCTTTAACTCCTCTACAGCCAGACGGGGTGCCTGCATCGGCAGAGTTCCAAGTCCCACAAACCTGCAGCGGCCGCACAGCCATCACAGATCAACGAAATTGATTAAGGCTTTACACTTGACATGAATACAATGTAATTAATTCAGTAGGTCAAGTACATTGCTCAAATGTTATTCCATTAGTTGAGTACAATTTTTCACTTGCACATGAAACATCTGGGATTGTTGACAATATCTTTCATCCTGAACAGTTTACAATCACTGTACTTTACACAGTTGAAGAAGCATTGTGAAAAATGCGACTACAGTTTAGCGCCAATTACCTATCAGGGTGCGTTCGAATCTGATCGGCCATATCATTATTAAGCAACCTACACAGGTCAAGTGTGTCTGCCGGTTTTGCCCAGTAATTAAACATTACTGGAACAGTAGACAGGGCCTGTACTGTGACGCCTGAAAGATATAAACTATATCAACCATGTGACCTCCAGTGATGTCTACTTGTTTCAGGCAGCCCCTCTTTAAAACAGCATTAGGTCACACCTATATTCAAGTATACTAACATAGATTACTTGCATGTAGTTAGGGATGGTGAAAGTGAAAATGAGAACTTGTATCCAATCTCAATATCATCTCTGTAAGATCTAAGCAGCAGCAGTTTAGTAATAAGCAAACAGATGGCACACTAAATTAATAAGCTTACCTGTGACCACACCTAATGCTTGATTAGCTAATCTACGTACCAATTAGAAACAGCAAAGCAATCATTTTACTAAATAGGAGTTAGTTGCTTTAGTGATACGTGAAAGAAGGATTATTGGGAGTGTGTATGCATTACTTAGTATACGTCTGAAAAATTCCAGCTTACATACACCTGTTAGTGTTACTGTCATAGTTGTTGGTACCTTGTTAGTAAACTTTCAAACCGTTGTAAGTATTTCATTCTTCTGTCTTCTATCTTTTACACTTGTAGCACAACACCAACACCATACTATTACAAAGTATAAGAATAGTGAAGTAGAACTTTAACCTTATATGCAACAACTGGTTTTTAATGGTTTTAAATAAACTGAAAATGATGCAAATGAAATTAGTTATAGTGTAAAACAAATAGACAAGTATTCCATCATTACCAGATATGATGATCACTGAATTTCAAAAGTAAAAACCAACTGCTAAAGTTGGATGACATTTGCACAATTACACATACGGGATATCCTTCAAAGTAAAACGATTAATTTCTGTGAGAGTGTCTTATTCTATTTCCTACCATCCCTGTCCATATCACTGATCCGTGCCTTGGTGGACCAACAGTTTTCCTCGATGATCCGAAACAGCTTGTCATCTATCATCATTCGAGCCTTGCCAGGCTCATGGTGATCTAAACTAATAAACCCTCCATAGCCATAGCGCTGAAAAAAGCAATGATGATGCATGTCTACATATATGCTAACAATGCAAAGTTCCTACCAGGCTAATAGCAAAATCTTATATATTGAAATCAATTAACATTATGAGAATGAGAAATGATTGTAAGGCTTCCGTAATATTCAGCTTCTTTAATGAGAACGACATTAAATCATACCATGAAACTAACCTATGCAGATTGAACAAAATATAAATGCCTGCACACAAACCTTTGAAAAATGGTAACTGGCAACCTTTCTTTTCTAGAACCCAAGCTATAATTTGGCTATAAAGCGAGAGCCTGGAGAGGAAAACTTTGGAGAAGTGGAAGCAAAATTAACCATTCTAAAAATGCAAGGGTATTCAATTGTCCTATCAACCTGGTGTAATTGATGGGCAATGCTACATTGCTAGGTAATCACTCTTGCAATAAGACATTCTAAAAACAACGTTTGACAAAGAAGTGCCGCAAAATCACCGGAAAATTAAATGGATGAGTGAAAAACACATACATATGATAATGGTCTAACTTGACTGACCTATCAGAAACATCCAAAGGGGAATGGTTATTTTACTCAGGCAGATAGGTCAACGCCTCAATGGAGTACCGGCAAAACCAATCGGCTAAGTGGCACTATATTATAATATA